CCATTTTGAAATTGTTGAAAATGTACTCTTTTAATCATTTTGAAAAATTATTTTCAAAAACCCAACATTGAAAAATGTGTTCTCTTCCGTCCCTTTCTTCTCGTCTCTCTCTCTCTTCGTCCTCTCTGTTCTTCCCGTCTCTCTCTTCTTTCCCTCCTCACGACACCTCTCAAGGTCCCAGCGTCGAAGACCGGCTTCTTCTGCTGTTGGGTGTGGCAGCGTTGGTTGGATGCGGTGATGGTTTTTTTTTTTTTTGTAGCGGTGATTGTTGGTTGCGGGGGTGGTTGTGGCTGTGGTGTGGTGTAGCGATGGCCGTGGATTCGAAAATTGGAGCAGTTTCTGAATCAATTGGTGCAATTGACATGTGACCCATAGTCGTATGTGGCTTCTGAAGACTCGATTGGGGCCAATTTGAAGATTCAATGTTGTGGGGATGATGAATTGAGGAAGACAAATCCCCCGAACTTGAAGATTCTGAATCAATTGGTGCAATTGACATGTAACTCATGGTCCTATGTAGCTGCTGAAGACTCGATTATGGCCAATTTGATAATTCAATGTTATGGGGATGAGAAATGGAAGCAAAAAGATTCAGAACCGGTGTTGGTTGTGGCGGTGGTTTTGGTGGCACGACAGCGGCGGCGATGGTGTGGTGCAAGCGGTGATGGTGATGATTTTTGTTGGCGGCATAAAAGAAAACACCCAAAACGCGTTTTGAAAATTTTGTATTAATTTTAACTGAAAACACCAAAAACGACTTTTTTAACGTTTTTGATTTTCTTTTAAACTCGTTTTCAGAAATTCGTTTTTGAAAATAGGTAAGTAAACATGTTTTCATTGTTTTGAAAAATTGAAAATAGAAAACAGGATGAAAAAGACAAAGAGAACAGCCCTGGAGTTTTGAATAATGGTTTTTTGGATGTTGTGTGGTTAAAAAGTAAGGAAAAATTCTAGATTTACGTACAAAATATTTCATTGTATGAATCTATGCTTGATAATTAGTTGTAGAAAAAAGACTTTTGAAATACAATAATGCTAAATGTACATTCATTTACTTACATCATTATTTACATCAGGAATGTTTTCAAAAAATTGTTGGCAGAAAGTATTTTTTTTAAACTATCAAATAGTATGTTGCCATGTGGCACAATGTAAATAATGATATAAAAGATAATAGAAAGAAATTTCAATTCCCTGTTGTTGAAAAATAAAAACCCAATAAATCCATACGAATTCATTTTTCATGAAAATAAAGAAAATGCAGTTTAAAGTGGTTGTATCTTGGAATTCGATTTTCATTCCCACGTTGCAATCAAACGATCAAAATGGAATTCGTTTTCCTCGAATGTGACATTTTCCATAAAAAATGTGACAATCAAACATGATTTATATAGTAGAAATGATGGTTTGATATATGATTGTTTGAAACATGATTTAAAAATTTTTCTATATAGTAGAAACGATCAAAAATGTTTGAAACATGATTTAAAAATGTGACAATCAAACATGACATTTTCCATGAAAAATATGATTGTTTGAAATAATGGGTATCAAACAGAGGCATAAATCACACTTAAAACAATTTAAAACGAGGAAATGATTTATATAGTAGAAATGTCTTTTTTATCCCATCCCACTCATTATTTTTAAATAATTATTTTATATTTTGTCAATGGTTTTAGTTGTTATCTATTTGCATTTTTGAAAAGGTTTGGAACTCTTGTTGCAATTTTTTCTTTATTTTTTTATTTAATTAATTTTTTTAAAGGGGGTGACATATTCACCATTTTACATGGCTTTTATGGTTAACATGGACATAATAACGAGTATTGCTACTTAGTTGAAATATTTGGTATAAATTATGCTAAAAAAATGAGGATGTATTTGTTACTTCTTTTTTTTTGAAAGATTCGAGATGAAAAGTGAAAAATCCATTTATTGATGACATAAGCCCTTGTTCGATTTCCCTTATTTTCAAAATTCATTTTTCTCTTTTTTTTTTCAATCTCACATTTTTCATTAAAATAATATTACACGCAAATTCAATTTTTTTCTTATTTTTTTAACTATCTCAAACATGCAGTAAAATTAGTAACGGGTCGTTAAATATTTTAAGATTCTCACTGTTATTTTGTACCGTTTAATATTGCAAACGAAGGAAGCAATGGCGTGATTGAGTACGTAAACTAGGTTTTTGACAATTGGGTCCCACTAAGTGACCGGCCTTGTCCCAGTTGCTTGGCTTTTGGCTCATCACAATCATCCATTGGCTACCTAGTTTTCAAATGGTTAAACATTTTGATTTTGACCCCATTACCAATTTGTAATTTTCCATCATTTCGTGGCAAAATTCTTGCTCTCATTCTTTGTAGTTTGTACTTTTTTACCCCCTTTTGCATTATTTTACATTGGTGGGATTAGGTAAAAGAAATTATTTGACAAGACTACTTAACAATATCGAAATAAAAATTAAAAAAAAAAATCAAAATCAAAATCAAAAGCAAAATAATAATAATTGATACTCCTCGCCTCTGAAGCCTAGTGAAACGAGGCCACGTGGCACGACACGTAGCAGACAGTCAACAAGGAAGTCAAAAGAAAACCCAATAGGTCTAACCCACAAAGAAGATAAATAGGGATGAAGTCGAGGTTGAGGCATTCTTTCAAAGACGACACTACTTAAGGAAGTTGAGAAAGGAGCTGAAGTCCAATTGAGAGAATCATCTCAAATCTCTCAGAGGCCCTCCAACTAATCCGTAGATCATAAAGTCAGCGCTACCTCTTCTAATAGATTCAGGGATCTACTGGAAGTGAGCGATGTAACACTTATAATAAAGTTGTAAGTGTGTCAGCCTATTATATAGGGCGGCTGACTTCTTATCAATGTTTTAATCGTGTGAATAGACTGATGTGATGCCCCAATTTGAGTGATGAGGCCACTTGGTCCTGATCCAACGGACACGACGTCGGCCAATGTAGCATAAATAGGTCCTCTTTGTAATTAAAAAGGGGATGAGAAATAGAGATTTGGGGGAGGAATGATATGCTCAAAATATACATTTTAAACTCCGGAAAGAAATCTATTAACATTTTCATCTATCCTTCCACATATTCTTGTTGATGATTACATAGATTAATTTGGTTTCAACTCGGTAATCGTTGTTAGTGTCATTGCTTTCGTTCCACCTGTCGGAACTCGAACAATTTTGTTTATCACCGCAAAGTACCTCCCGCATCTATTTTCTTATTGCAATCGTCATCATTCCGATAGGAATGTGTCGAAACCGTACTTAACTTGACGTGAGTGGGCCCGGCATCTATTGATTCATGTTTTGGGATCAACAATAATTAAAATTTCTCTTCTAATACGGTAAACAAACACGACTCAATAGACTTATATCATATTCTTTCTTACGAGAAGCTAAGTTACTAGTAACGTATATTGGTGATAAAAAAGAAATAAATTATATTAAGATAAACAAAAGTAAAGAGGCATTTGAAAAGCGACTAATCGGTTTTGATGAAGCTTCTACTAGGTCGACCACTAGAGATAGAGTACAAGTCATGGACTATCCATGCGTAGATAGGTAGAAGTAGCTTCTAACTTGAAGCAGATCCGATAGGATAATCGAGCAAAGTGTCGAGGCACTAATATTCTGACGAAAGAAGCTAACAAAGCCTCTATTTAGTAAAGATTAAAATCTAAATTTTAATATAAGTCAAAGTCAACAATTAATTTTTAACAATACAGTTCATGGACCCACAATTTTAACCATACATTTCATCAATTTTTATCGAAATCTATTAAAAATTTGATTTGAATCTCGAGTATAGATTTGGCACAAAAATTGTGACCTATCAATCATTATGCATGCTAGTATAAAGACAGTATTCATGCAATTGTCAAAAAAGATGAAAAAGATCCGTAATCTGCACGGCTTTGCGAAAAGTGTTAGTAAACTACGTTATTGATAGAATTTCATACGTTTTTCCTTCTCAAAAACACGTTTTTCTTTTTAATCTCGTTCCAATAATTTTGATTGTTTGCAAAGGCTCCTTAAATTCATTTAGAAGCTTTTAGTAATTTGATTGCAATTTTCTGTTTCACCCTTTTTCAGCGACGACTATACATGTTGAAAATGGCCAGATGTACAGAAAGAAGCCCACAGAATTTCACCAGAATACACACATTTGTGGGTCTTGTATATTTTTTTAAAAATACATGGAGGGTCCCGCTCATTTGTGTGTATTCTGGCCAAATTCTAGAGGGCTTCTTTGTGTACCGGGGGGAAAATCCATACATGTTCTACCTTCTACTTTTATCGCTGTGTGTGAGTTACTTAGAATCCGTTTGACATGACTTTTGATTTAGCTTTTACTTTAAATGAAGTCATCTTAATTTTTGAACTTACTATTTCGAAAATGCTTTTAGAAGAAGTCACGTTAGACCAACTTTCTCTAAAAACTCTTCTAAAAAACATTTTTATAAAATTAGTCAAATAAGTCCAAAAGCAACTTTTGGATCTCAAAAGTTCATTTTCGATTTTTAAAAGTCATGCCAAACGGACACGGAAAAGATCGACAAATTTAAATAAGCCAAACGAAATAGAAAAAGAATAATAATAATTTAACTTAAAATCTGGATCAAGCAGATTAAAAAAATCTTGAATGAACATGATAGCATGATGATGGTAGTCACCTAGATGCCCTACTGCACAGAACACACAATGAGCCAGGTATGATAACTACATGCAAAATGGCATCCACCATGTGGGATTGCCCATTCAAAAACAAACACAAAGAAAAGAAATCTCATCTTTGAAACAATTTTCTGTGAAGTAAAACCATTTACAACTAGACAAAGACATGGGCCTAATGCACTTTACATTAATTTGTACCTCTATAAATAGCCTTCCACTTAATCATTCTTCTCATCCTCACTCACATTCACTAGCAAATAACTCTTCTTTCCAAGTTTCATCACCACAGTTTCAATCACAATGGCCACAGCTCAGGTATAGAACATATAACAATATTTTCTTGAAATTTTTATTTTTGATAGATCATAATCTTGATCGAGTTCTCGTTTTAGATTGCTTAGCACAACCAGGTCGAGATCAATCAAGTTTTTTTTTTGATATAGTTTAAATTCTTTCTTCAATATGTGGAAGCTTTAGCTCCATCAATCGACTCTTATGTCAATTTATGTTATTAAAGATTGATAATTCGATCAATACTGATCTGATCTTCATAATCTCCAATGAATTTGTCTAAAATTATGCACTAATCAGAACGGATTCGATCTCGTGCCCACAGTGAGCAAGAGTTATTATGCCCACTGAGAGTGTGGCAACATCTGACATTACCTTGTCATATACCCACTGTTGACATGGCAACACCAGATGTTGCCCATCAACAGTGAACATAATAACTCATGTTCACAGTGGGCAGGAGATCATCACTACTAATCAAAATTGGCTAGTTTTATAAATAGATCAATGGTGATCTCTTTTCTATACTTGTGTGCGTGTATTCATCCAATATACTTTTCTGTTAGGCATAGAAAAAAGAGCAGTATTTTAGTAAATAAGTAATAAGGTTTTTCGTTCAAAATCAATTTTAATCCCCACGAAGGGAAATGTTAGTACCAATGACGAAGAAAATGGATGATGATCGTTTTTATCAGTATTTCTATTATCTCAAGATTAAAAATTCTGCCTGCAATAGGTTGTGTCAGTTCCAACACCAGTAGCAGAGACTGTTAAAACTGAGGAAGTGAAGACCGTTGTAGAGGCACCAAAAGAAGAAGCGGCAGCAACACCCGCCCCCAAGGTGGCGGCCGAGGAACAAGTGAAAGAAACCGAAGAAGAGGTGGCTGTACCACCAGCTCCTGAGGTGGTGACAGAGGAACAAAAGCAAGAAACCAAAGAAGAGGTGGCAGCACCACCAGCAGAGGAACCTGTTACTCCTGTAGCCGAGACTAAGGAGGTTGCAGTAGAAGAGACCGTGGCAGAAGATGAGACCAAAGAAGTTACACCCAAAGAGACCGTGGAAGAAAAAGTAGAGGCTGAAGCTCCTAAGGAGGCTGCTATTGAGGAGACTAAAGAAGAAGCCCCTGAATGCAAAGATGCACCAGTGAAGGAAGCAGTTGCGGAGGAGGAGAAACCAGCAGAAGCAGTGGCGCCGGCAGCGAAAGAGGAGTGAGAGGAGGATGCTTTTGCAAGGTGGAACTGGAGAAGGTGTTGCAGTATTGGGGTTCTTTTACCACCCATGTTAATTAAGTTCATTTTCTATTGTTTTCTTCAGTTTGTTATTTACATATTATGAGTTAAGATTTTAGTGTTTTGTATTGGGTTTTAAAGCAGAAATAATATCAGTATGTTGGGTCCAAGTCTTATATTGTGATGCATAATGAAGTGTTTAACTGCGTATGGGTTTCTGATGGAAATGATCCTTAGATTTGAATAACATATTTATAAATTATGTTTATTAAATGGAATTTTTCTTTTTTATCGAGTAATGACTCCTCGTGAGAACTTCACCTCTATCCCATATCACTATAAGTAAGGTCATGTTTGATTGCAAACTTTTCAATGAAAAATATCACATCCGAAGAAAACGAAATATACTCTGGCCGTTTAATTGCAACGTGGAAATAGAAATCGAATTCCAAGGTACAACCACTTTAAACTGCATTTTTTTTATTTTCATGGAAAACGAATTCCTGTGGATTTGATGAGTTTTTATTTTCCAACTAACATGGAATTGAAATTCTTTTTTACGTCTGCCTATCAAACGGACCCTAATATTAAAGAGATGTCAAAAGTTTTCACTAAGGCTTTGGGAGAAAACAAAAAATCTTAAGCTAAAAAATTAGGTGAACTTTCGTAATTCTTGACTTCTCATTAATTAACTTAATTACACGGTCTAGCTCCAAAGCAGATAAGAGTTGCATCATCTATGAGCAATATAAAGCAATGTCAAAAATTGCAGCTAGTTTGTCACCAAGTATCAAAGCTGCAACCTACATGCTACTGAGTAGTCGATTTCGCATGATAGACATGGCAGGAAAATCTGGGAAACATAACACGTAGAAGCATTTGTGAGAAGATGGTAGGCAATTGGACTACTCAGACGACTTATTGAGGTAAAGCCGAGAACCCAGACCGCCAAGCACGACACATGTCTAGACTCTTCACCCATATCGAGGAACTTCAGAAAATCCATACTGATGTTCTTCAATTCAAAAACTCTAGAACACATTTCTATCCTTCGATCGGAAATTCTAGAAGTGAAAAAATGTACCAATTAATCCAAATGATGAATAAATTGTTCATAATATGTCTGATAGAGAATTGCTTAGTCTTGGAAACGACTAGGGATGGGCATGGTTTGAATTGGGTTGGGTCGATTTTTGCCTCAATCCAAACCCAATTCAAAATGATTGTTTTGATCAAAATTGAACCCAATTCAACTCATGTAAAGGTTCCAACCCAACCAAACCAAGTATCGGTCGGGTTGGGTTGGTCAGTTTGTGACAATTTATCAACAAATATTAAAGTCATCCAATTTTCTATTATACAAAATTCGAATAGACAATATTAAATAGTAAATAAATAAATAAAATTATCTATTATTTTATTCAATCCTCATTAACCGAGCCTACAAAGAATAAAGTTCATTTTATATTTTTTTCTTTTTCTTTTTCTTTTTTAAGTAGAAGGGTCGGGTTAGGTTGGGCGGGTTTATTCGATTTTCTTGAGTTAACTCATAATCCGACCCAACCCGACCCTAAAAACGACTACAATTGGAAATCATGATAACGATGGACATCATGAGTGAATTGTTGGAAATGTGGGAGAGAAATTGTTCATAATATGTCTAGAACAATTCACTCATGATGTACCCAAACCGCTCAAACGACTACAACTGGAAATCATGATAAGGATGGACATTACACTCAGACATAGTATTCTTCCACTACATTTGTTTCCACCAGTAAATTAACCGTCGCTCGATGACAGTAATTCCGGTAATAGACTAAATTTTCTCGTGAATTGTTTTGGTGGTGTTGGTGCAGTAGGCTTGAACGACAAGGGTTCTCTTTGAAAACTTATGGACAGAGAATTGGAGGTGAGCATGGAAGCTGGTTGTCTTAATGAGTGATGATCGGGGTTGGTACGTGATGGCCGATGGGCGAATTGAAGTCCTTTCTCATCTGACAGCGTTCGAAGCAAAATGACGATATTTGAGAGGGATGGGTAAAAAAGGTTAGATAATGCTGAGTGTACACTCAGTTTCATGATCCTCTCACAAAGTGGGTGGGGCCCGTGAGTTACTTCAGGATTTTGCTATTTGTACCTCAAAATTATATACAAGGAGTTACATAATATGGTGTGCAGAAAAAAGATTGGATAAAAAAGTTAACTGCGTTTTAAATTGATAAATGATAGAATTTTATGTGACATTATGTAATCTTTGGTGTACATGTAGCAAAATCATTTACCTCGTGTGTTTGGTTGACCTTGAAAAATGGCAACCATGCTAAATTTACATCATGGATTACAATATGATTTACACTTTTCTATGTAACTATATCTACATCATTGATTTTGACCACAATCATCACATCACCGTCCAAATTTCTTCCATATAGGGAAAAGTCAGAATATTGTCAACCAAAATGTATGTCTAGCATTATTTGAAAAATGGAAGCTAATAAATTTCTTGCCACCTCTTTGTACATCATCTCTCTATGCCCTTTCGATCATTGGAGCTCTGGAAGAGCGACGTCATGGTGATGGCCACTATCGAGTAAGACTTAGAGTTTGTAGAGAAGAATTTGATTAGGGTTTCTAATATTGCTTCTTTCCTTGTGAATTTTTTGAGGTATTTACAAATTTCTCAAGCTCATGGGCTTTTTAGTGTTTTTACTTTTCTTGTACACGTGTTACTTTTCCATTTGAGGATCCATAACAAATTGTAATTCTAGATAGTTCTATGAAGGGTGGATTTAAGATCGGATTAAAAAAATATTCAAGCTTGGCTAATATATTAAAAATATATATTTACCCATCAAAATGAAAATGGGCTGGGCCCATTCTCCTTGCATTCCCCATAGTTATAGGGAAAGAAAATCATATTTAAGGTGTAATCTTTACCTCAATTCAAAAATAAGGTAAATAGTTTAAAAATTCAAAAATCAGGTATTTATTTAATTAATTAAAAATATTTATTAAATAAAGATAATAAAGTCACATTTTATGATTAATGGTCACATATTCATAATTTTAAGTTACAGATTTATTTACTGGTCACATATCGTCAAATTTTTTGATCCCAAATTATTTCGAGGTCACATATCAAACAATTTGTACGTCACACATTATTTCGAGGTCACAGATT